AGGAAATCCGCTTTATTTTTTGATTGAGTGTGAACCGGGTCTCAGCAAAATTATGTCGTAGATGGTTTTTGAAGACAAAAGGGAATTATTTTCCCATACAATGCACAATGGAACGCCGGAGGCAGTTAATGTGGGCTGTTACAGATGCTAGAAATACGGATGAGTTCAAAAGCAAGGAGACAAATTCCTAGGAAGGGCGACCACGAGGGATAAACGAACGCGAATGTGAGCACAGCCCGAAATTCAGTCAGTCGTTTGCTGTGGATGACTTGAGCCCGGGAGGCAGACCACCCGTCTGACTGCAGCAGTCACCTTCGGGGGGACACTGGGGTAGCGGAGCCTTTGCTCTGATCCGGCATGGCTTTTCCGTAGCCGAGAGTCCTTTCAGAAGCTGCCTCTTCGGGTATTTCTTTTGGATATTCTTCAATGTGTCAGAAAGAATAAGGAAATGTGCTTTGACCCGAGTGGTACGTTTTGCTGTCTTTACTGTTTCTACTCAGTTGAGTAAAAGTTCCTCAGCACTGACACGGTTAGGAGCGGTGTTCCTAATCCATCTTTTCTAAACATTTATGTTTTGATGCACGTGTTTGTTATGCTCCTCACTGTGCTTTTGGCTAAAGTCAATGTTTCCATTAAAATAATATCTGTTTCTCTAACCTTTAAAACACCAAACACATTTTTGGGCCCTTGTGTAATAATAAAATGTTAAATACTTCCCTTAAGCTTTTAAGGGGATTTAATACTCGTAGGTGCAAACCCTTGCACTTCCGATGTTTCCAAGCTTTTCCGTGCCCAGGGCAGCGTGCTCTAAGCCAGGCAAGCCTTGCCCGCAGCAAGGGCAGCAGGCCGAGTCCTTTCTACGTAGCTGAACTTCGTCTTGAATTGCACTGCTGATGGCAAACTCTGCTCGCGAGGCTGAGCCAACTGCATGAATAGTGTCGGCCTCTTGTGAAAGGGCTTGTGCCAAATAAGTAAGTCCCCTGAAAACAAACACCCCCATCCCCTTTTCTAGCATATTTGGCCTTTTGCTTAGGGGGGAAGAAAAGGAAATCTTGTTTGCCTCTCTTCTTGCAAATCAGCCGAAGCCGGTCGTGCCTACCGCTTGCTTCCTGCCTCCGGGAGGGAAGTCGGGGCCGCTCCCTTTGTAGTCCCTGCCAGGAGCACTGCTCCTTTCCCTCTGCCACAAGGGCTTCCCTGGGCGAGGTGTGCAGCGCTCCAGCCTGCGTGCTGGCACGCCAGCCTCCAGCACAGTTGTCGCCTTGTATCATCTTAACGTAGTCGCCTGTCTGTCAGCTCCCCGGTCCCCTTCTCTTCTGGCACGTCTCCTTTCCTAGGAACAGCCCCCAAGCAGCGGAGTGATGGCATACCTTTTTTTATTAGGTTTTTGATTAGGCCTGTGTTTATCAGAACCGTGAGAGTGCCTTTTGGTCAAGCGCACGTCCTGGGGGCCGTGGGGTGGCTTCTCGGATGGCACAAGCCAACGGAAGGTGCCTGCAGCATCCCTCTCTCTACCTGCGGGTGCAGGGGGGTGTTTTTCCCCTTTTCAGACCGCGCTGCTGGTCTAGCCAAGCACGTTGGAGCGTTAGCCCACCACGTGTTGAGTTTGCGTGCCTCTCTCCATCTGCAGAACCTCCTTTCTGTACCCTTCAAATCTTCGCTCTTCCTCAGTTGGTTCCTTTCTCTCCCTCCTCCAGCGAATGCAGAAGAGGGCTGAACGCTTCAACGTGCCCGTGAGCCTGGAGAGCAAGAAGGCAGCGCGGGCAGCTCGGTGAGTCTACGCTCGGAGCCTTCTCCCCTCTTCTTGCTTGGGAGAAGACCTCTCCGGACACGTCTGCCCGTGGCAGGTTGTGTTGGTGGGAGGTGAACGTGGCTCTGTGCTGTGCTCGGGTGGTGGGACCACAACGCTGGGGAGGAGGCTGAAAAATGAGGTGGGGGTTACCCCCAGCCTTGACAAACGGCGGGCAGCTTTACTGGAGGGTTTGCAGACACGTGCTGCGTTACAGCTGCAGGGAGGTGGTGCTCCTCATGAGGCAGGAGACCCCCACATCAAATTTGGGCTGTGTCTGATTGTGGAGTGCTTGATGCATGCTTTACTGGTTGCTTGGGCTAAAATACCCTTGAAATTTCTGGCGGTTCTCACAGTTATTCTGGGAAGACAGGGCAACGAAAGGGGAAAATGAACTGCTGGTGATCCGACTAGCTTTCTGGACTTTGAGGTTGGTTTTATGAAGAAAGTGGGGAATCACTGTACGCAGCGTAAGTGCAGGAGTTGCTGCAGTAATTACATTAGCCAGTAATAGCGTGTTCCAGTTAATCTTGCCCCCAAACCAGTTTTCCTCAAGTACACTCATGGAAAGTATTTGAAGGAAAAGCTCACACACTCGACGTGACCTTCTCTTTGCCCGAGTCTCTGACTAAGCTCTGTTTACCTTTGGCAGGTTTGGTTTGGCCACAGTTTCAACTAAAGGTGAGGAGGTGAAGCAGAACCAATCCGTGGAGCGACCTTACTGCAAATATTTAATTATTCCTGGGAAAAAAAAAAAAATTGCTGGTTGGGACTACCTTTGTTTTCACTTCTGCCCCTTTTCCTGACCATGCCCAGGAGCTCCGAGCGGGAATTGTAGAATCGGGAAGAAAAGGACACGTGTTGTTCCCTCGGTAGTTCAGACACTTTTCTCAGCGTCTCTTACTTCTAAGCACAACTGGAAGACGCTGGCCAGATTTTCCTGTGTGCCAAACATCCTTTGGCTTCATAAAATGCCAGGTTCAATTGCCAAAGCTGTCCTTAGCGAGGTGGGACGGCAGCAGTTCTGTGGGTGGAGAAGCTGATTTGAAGGTGAAAAAGAAATTGGGAGACTCGTTCTGTAGTGAGCAGAGAGAAGCTGGGGAAAACGGGACAGCGGTTCTTCGCTGGTCTGTGGCGGGACGGGTGCAGGGCTGCTTCGGGCAGCGCTGTGACTTTACTGCACCTCCTTTTAGATGAGGTGCTGCTCCTGATGTTTGTTCTCTAACTGGGTTTTCTTTTTCTTGCCTCCTCGTTGCAGGCCTCTCTGCAGACAGCAAACCCACGGTAAGAAACGCTTCTTGTTCTTGGGTTACTGCTGGCCAGGCCCCTAACGCGTGTTGTAATTTGTAGGAAGAGGTTCCTCTCTGCAGGGATAAACCACCAAAATGGTCCAGGAACAACATACGTGGGGTGGGAGTTCATGACGTAGCCTGCACTGAACTTGAGGGGTTCACATTCCCCGTGGTGCCTCTTACGACAGTTTTCTCAGATGGGCTGATTTTAGAATGAAATGCTGAAAGGAACAAAGACGGATATTTGTTTGGTTGGGTTGGTTTTTTTCATATGCCTGATTTTCATTCTCTGCTTTTTTTTTTAATTGCTTGAATTACACTTCAGGAATGGAAATGACGAATGACCTGTAGTAAATTACTCGGCTTTTAATGGCCGATGCTGCTTTGCCTGTCTGACTTCCAGGCCTAAGTAGGAGGCACCGAAGTGTGCAGGGCTGAGAGCTCTCTCACACTGGGCAGCTGGCTCAGTATTTGCACGCTCGACTGAGGATGAGCGGAACAGAGTTAAGCCAGGACAGGATCTGTCACCAGGCAAGGTTATAGGTTCCTTTGGTGCCAGGGGCGTGAAAGATCTTGCATGAACGTCTGCGGGGCAGAATAGCACCAGGGTTTCCTCTGCAGAACTCCGTACTGTGGAAGGCTCGTCCCTGAAAGTCTGTGTTCGCTAGGGATAAGTGCCGTAATGGTGGCTGACGCCTCTCTGGGAAACCAGTCAGGCTGGGTGACGTGTTGGGAAGCTGCTTGGTCCGGGGACCTGATTAGATGTGACACAGTGAGGGTGCAGCAATGGCTTCTTAAACCTGTGGCAGCCAGATAGCAGCGGTAACTTTTAGGAGTACTGGCAAGATTTGCCTACGAGGCTGTGTATTTTCTGCTTGTGTCGACCAGACTGCTACAGGAAAGGCACCAGGTACAGCTGGCTCACAGTAACAGTCTGAAACAACCGCCCCTTCAGAAAGGGGAACAGCACCTGGGGTGTTTGTCCTTTGGTTGGTTTGAGGAAGCAGAGGGGGCAGACTGGCAGTTTCTGGCTGCTTCGTTTGGGACGCTGGTTCTGTCTTGCGGCCCTCGGTGCTGGCAGGAGCTGTTGCTGCTGGATGTCAGTGCAGCACGGAGCCCAGAGGAGTTTTCCCTGGGGCTGATCGCTGTGCACAAGTCTGTTCCGGGAGGCGGCCTTATCTCTATCCCTGCAACTTGAGTTTGGTGATTTAAAAAAAAAATATATAAATTGTTTCCTATGTCTTTATAGGTAAACATGGATAAATTAAAGGAAAGGGCTCAAAGATTTGGGTTGAATGTCTCCTCGCTCTCCAAGAAGGTAAGGTGCCTTGGCCTCCAGGACACTCTTTGCACCTCCAGATTAGCCCAGTGCTCCAGCTCGTAGCGTGCCGTGACCGTTCAAAGCCTTCGTGCTGTTTGAGGTTTTGCATCTTGTTATGAATGCAGCGGCGTGGGCCCCGGACCCCGGGGGAGTCTTGTCAACGCTGTTTCCTTCATCTTTCCTTCTGTTTGTTCTTGTGTGTGAGACTCTTGATACGGTTTTGAGAGAGTTACGACTGCCGAATGGAGGTGTGGAATTTTAAGATTGTTCATCCAAATTTTAAGAGGGGAAGAGACACCGTTTAGCAGGATGTGTAGTTGGTTTGTTTTCAGGCGTTTGGCTTGCGCTGTGTAAGTGCACATTTCTGACTGGGGTAGGAGCCGGGTCTGTAAAGACCAAGGTAATGAGCTCTCTGAAGAGAAGGCGTCCAGAGCTCCCTGGTAGGAAATAACTCTTTGAAGTACAAATGAGATGAGCTTTGTAGGGGGATGGATTCAGTCTTAAAGCTATTTATTTTTTTCCAGGGGAGAAATATACACAAGCTTCTGAGCGTAACCCCTCTTCTGGTCCTCATACCTAGCAACTGATTTAGCTCGGCCTTCACGTGCTGGAGCTGGCTGCGGGGCAGGAGATGGAGCCGCGCTCCGTCTCCAGCTGGAAGGGTGGGCTTTGCTGAAGGGCGCTGAACGTGTTGGGGGGGGCCACGGGGCGTGCTTGGAGGTAGACGCGTGCTGGAGAATGGTGTGCTTACCGGCGCGATAATCCCTCGCCTAAACGTGTTCTGCAGCAAACGGGGGAGAAGATTAATTTAGCATGTTTGGGGAAAACAGAAGAAAGGGTAAATATATACTGAGATGAATACAACATCCTGTGGGCTTCCCAAACAAAGATAGCCTTTTTCCTTTTCTGGGTTGTAAGGAACCTTGTGCCGCGGCACTGTTCAGAAATAGTGGTGAGTGAAAAAGAATTGTCCAGCTATAACAGCTGGATAATGTTGGCATGGAGACCTCTCCTCTCGATGTGGAAAAGGGTAAGAGCCAGGGGAGGTTCATCTCCTCTCCATCCCTGTGAAATAAGCCCCTCTCCTCCTCGGGGGGATGGATTTGACCTTTTTTGCTGCCTGTTTCTCCACGTATGAGTGTTCTGCTTTATTCCACTGGCCCTGGGAATTCACTGATGTAGAAAATATCTGGCATTGGAGGTCGCTGTTCCCCCCCCCTTCCCTCTCCTGTCCCTTTGGGGGTGGGGGAAGGAGGCCAGTGCATTAAAGCTGGGATATGTGGAGCTCAGGGTGAGAGGCTGCTCAAACATCATTAACCCTGTCACTAGGAGCTCCCATTTTTCAGGAGGAATATATGCCTTGTCAATGTTTATGGCCGTGGCCTTCCCTGGGTAGGATTGTGTGGCAGCAGCTTAATAAAGCCGGGGCTTATGGAAGGAGCGGGCTTCCTGGGTTGCGCTGTGGCCCCTGTACGTGGCAAAAACCCGAAACCACCGAAGTGCGAGGTCTGATCTCCCCGAGCCGTTCACCAGCAAATGCGGCCCGCTGTATACTAATGAACTGCCCCCCCCCTGGACAGATGGAGACCTACCGGTGGCCAGGGTCAGGAGTCGGTGGCAGGGCTGGCTCTAGCCTCCAGATTGCCCGACGCTGGGCTTTGTGTCCCCGGCGAGCTCCGGCCGCGCGCTCTGCGGAGCGGTGTCCAGCGGCAGGGCTCGCCTCGCCGCGCCGTGTCCCTTTTTTGTTTGCTCCACCAGGATGCCGAGTTCATGGGCTTAGAAGTGGCTTCTCCCACTGAGCGGAACACACTCTTGCATTCCTGGGAGGAATATTATTGGTTACTTTAATTAGCTGGTAGTATTGTGCTTCCCACCTGGGTGTTCTTTATGGCTTTTCATTACGGAGGAGCCTGGCAGTTGCGAATGTTTACATGTGTCTTGGCAGGTTTTTATACCATGCGTGGCAGCAAAAACTTTACAATAAACCATTGTCTCCACGGAGCCACACTTCATTTCCTATTCAAATTGATTTGGGGAGGGGTAGAGATGGGGGGGGAGAATCGTAGCTAAGGGGGATTTCAGACCTGCTGTGAGCGGGGAGCAAATGCAGAGCTGCGTTAGTGGCTGTGAACTCATCTGTAGCTTTGAACCCCCCCTTCCCCCTCTGTTAGCCCTCTGGGGTAGAAATCTTTCAAGTTTAAAATCCTCTTCCTCTCTGCCTAAAGGGAAAGCGAGACCCCGGTTGCTGGGAGGAGAGCGGGCGAACAGAAAGGTTGGCTGTGCTGGAGCAGAAGAGGCAGGTGCTCATTTGTCTCAAGGCAGCACGGGGCCATCAAATTAATTTTTAAAATAAATCAAGCAAGCGTTTATCTCCCTGTAGCACTGACTCTCCCCTCCGAGGCCTCCTGTTAAAGCACACGCTGGCTGACCTAAAGCTACCATCCCTTGACTCCTGTTAGTTGTACTTAACCCCCCACACTTGTAAATGTTCCCTCTCTATAGCAGCTGCTCCCTGTAACACTCAAACTCTCCGCTCCCCAGGGGAGGATGTTTAGCTGCATGCTTTATATGCAGGGTTCGATGCTGCAGAGGGAGCTGCCTGCGTCGTGGCTGTGATTCAGAAGCATTTCTCCAAGGGGGTGGTTTGCTCTTTATGTATAAAATAGCCTTGTAAGTCTCCTGCTGAGAAAGTGTTGGCACCAAATGGACAGCAAGAGCCCTTGGGATAACATAAAAGCTCTGTTTGCCACCTTTGTATTGCATTATCAAATACCTTTCCCGATCCGAATAGATGACTAAAATAATTGGCTTTTATATCTCCTCTTTAACGTGGAGGTCTCAAACTGCCTTACGAACAATTAGCTGATTAACCCTCGGCCGTTCAGAGGTTGGGAGCAGAGAGGTGAAGCGACTGTGCTCCGAGGTCACTCCGAGTCAGGAGTCCCCACTCGGAGCCCTCTTCTCCCCAGCGCGTTTCCCTGAGCCGGGGGTGAAACAAAGGATTTCTCCTGCAAATCCGTACGCGCGCCTAGGGTTCCTGTTCCTCATCACGGGGAGCCTGTCCCATCGCCAACTCGGTGACTTCTCAGGGTGTGGGGAGGTTTCCGTGTCTGTCGAGAGGTGGAGTGACCTGTCTGCAGCGAGGCAGAGTGGGGAGTGCGGCTCTCAAACCGTGTGTCACCTCGAATAACTTCATTTTTCTTTGCCTGGTTGCAAGTCTTCCATTTTGCAGCTGGAGCCTTGTAGCCATAAGACATGTTGAGAGCCCCGCAGGCGTCCCAGGTCGGATCCTGAGCAGCGGAGGCAGCGCAGGGTGCCAGAGCATCCCCTTGATCGAAAGGTACTGACTCTCCTGGCTGGGAAGAGTTAATGTTCTAATACGGCCATCAGTCATGATTCTAGATTAATGCTGGTTTAATTCCGGTTAATGAGAATGTGTTTTACATGGGGCAGATAAGAGCTGCGCTCGCCTGAGATCAGCTGGCCGGAGCTGGCAGGCTGACTGCGTGACGTTCGTGTGGTGTTGGAGCAGGGCAGGGGTCAGTGGACCGGCAGAAAGTCTGTGTGTATACAAAACAGCTAAATGAGAGAGAGAAAACAATTGCCTTAATTGTTTGGCTTCCAGCAAGCTTATAATAACGTGCTGAGGAGGAATCCTTTTCCTGGATAATTTTTCTGCCTGCAGTCTTTCCAAACACCCCCTGCCAGCCCCGGATGAGAAGCTATTAACCACCAAGGAAGCAAAGGGTGGTGGTGGGGGAGACGTGCTGATGTTGGCAGGGGAAAGGAAAAAGGATTCGTGGACGAGGATTGTTTCTAGCTCGCACCAGGGACAGGAGTGTCGTGCGTGGTGGCATATGCCTGCGTTTTTGAGACGCGCGATTGGCTTATGTGGCCGGTTTGTCGTCAAGAAATGCCTTTTGCTGTCACTTTGAAGAGATGGCTCCTGCATTGTTTGAAAGGGCACATGCCCCTGAATATTACCTTTTTTTTTTTTGCCCCAAACTTCACTTTTTCTGGCTGTCATCAGCTTTATGTCTTTCCATTGCTGTCCTCTCCGCTTTCTACCCCGTGTCTGCTGTGGCTGAGTGGAGGAGAGCCGTCTCCTCTGGGTTATAACCCAGCCCCTTCTCTTTCTGCGTGCTTCATCTTTCTCTCTCACCTTCTCTTTTACCTCCTGTAGTGCATTGTGATTAGAATATATATAAAAGATGGCCCAGGAAAGCGTCTTCACCACGCTGTAAATTTGTAGCAAGGTTGTATTTGTCCTGAGAAGCCGATGGCTTCATCTGCGTGTTGTCCGCACACCCTTCTTCTTCAGGACCGCTGCACGAGCTCTGCTTTTTGGATGGGTTTATGGAGCGCTCGGCGCTTCTTAAATCAGCCACGTGAAAGAAGTTTTTCTCCCTTGGAGCAGCGTGACAGTGGCACGTGGAACGGGCAGGGTAGCGTGCCTGGTGTGGAGGGGCTGGTATGTCGTGATAGACCGCACGATGAACGAGAGAGCTTCTGTGGGCAGAGCCCCGGTGCCGCGCTCGGGACTTCTTCCCCCATGCCCTGAAATTCCCATGACATTGTGCTTTTAAATCTTAATGGTTTTAGGCATTTAAAAAAGCTGCTTTAGGTAATTTTTAAAGGATTTTCCGTCTCCCTCTGAGTTGGACTAGTGGTAACTAAGGCAGCTGGATTTACAGAGGGGAGATTAAAAATAGTCCTGGTTTAAAGAGCAAAATGCAAGCAAAGCCCTCCAAAACACCTCTCGTGTTTTTGCTCGTTACAGAAACTTTTCAGTAGTTCTGCAGAAAGTAGAAACTAGGTCAGATAGAGGAACGCAGCTAGAACTGCATGGGTGCACGGAGACAAGGTCGGAAGATCCAGGTACAAAATAATGCAACTAGCAAGGAGTGTCGAAGCTGGCGAGATGCGATTCTGTGAGTCCAGAGAGGCGTTAGTCCGTGCTGACTGTGGGAGTGCTCGTGGAAGGCTCCGCAGCAGAG